TTATTTGGTATTATTATCATCAATCGATCGATTTTTATCATCATCAGTTAGTGCTCGTCTTCGTTCATTCAGTCAAATGAAAATAGCTTATCGTGCAACTATAGGAGCTATTACAATAGGTCTTCTATCATGTATTCATATTCTAGTTGGATATGAACTTCGACCACGATGCAGTGTCTTAGCTGGTAGCTTTGCAATGTTTGATGGTATGTTTGTAGTGTTTTGGCTTGGTATTATTCCTCATGTATTGATGTTAACCTTTGGTTTTCTTACTATTATGAATATTCAACGAACAAAAAAACGAATAGCAGTTACACCATATGAAAATACAGTTACTCCAAGGCAACAACAACATCATCAACAAAAAACTGATGCACATTTGATTGTGGTGAGTAGTTGATGATAATTAAAAATTTTATATATAAATTATTCAGTTTAATCTCCTTTTTTTTCTCAATCAAATAATTATCAATAGTTATTACATTATTAGATTATCGATTAAATCTTAATAATGTCTAATTATTGTTTATTCTTTATAGATGATGCTTGTTCAAGTTGGATTTAGTGAATTATTAATTTTAACACGCATGATTTATTATGCATACTATGTTCTAGCACCACCATTAATTGGTTATAACAAATTGGTTGGTTCATTCTTAATGTCATTCACTACATTAGTTTACTACGCTAATTATGCTAAATCATTTTATATATATACATTATCAAGTCAATTGTTTCGTTCAATATTTATGAATAGAATAAAATCATGTATACGAAAAATTCTTGGCCGATATATTCCAGTGATACATTTGGATGAAGGTTTTACAAATAATATGGCAACTATCAAAACTCATCTCTAATGAACTGTTTCAGTTATGAACTGATTTTATGTAGACATTTACAATCAAAATCATGTGTGTTGTGTAGTTTTGTAATATTGTCTTTTCTGAAAATTCATAGAAGAAAATTGTATTCGTACATAGCATGAATAATTCATTCTTACATGTTGTCATTTTTTTCTTTTTGTTCTTTCTTTCCTTACCTAGTTCGTTCATTCAGGTTGAGATAATCTACATATAATCAGCGCTACATATAAAAAAAAGCCATTGCATATGGTTGTGCTCTTCCTCCATGCAGATGACGAATAATTCGCAAGATGTCTATAGTTGTTAGTGTCATATCTCATTCTTTCTATAGTATCATGAATCGTTTCGTGAAATATAAGCTACATTTTAGATTGAAATTAAAATAAAAGATTACACAAATATATGGGTCTCAATCGAAGTAATTTTGAATGCATTATTAAACAAAAAAATGTAAAAATGCAATTATTTCAAGACTATTGCATAATCCGAACATAGAAACTAAATAACATGGCATTAATGATATACTCGAAAAACAATTTCTGAATTTGAATTATATTGAACAACCCAAAAGAAATTCAAAAAATATTTAATCCTTTTTCCGCTTTTATTCTTCATTTTTCTTTCAATTCTTTTATTGTTATTTTCAATCCAATACAGGAAGAATTAATAATTACAAAATAAATGACAAAAAAAAAGAAAATGAGAAAACATTTGATGATGACAGATGTGAATACAAAGATCATTTTCTAGTAATACATAACGAACGAACAGATCCAAGAGTCAATTTCTATTTCAGGATAAATAAAAGAAAAAGATATTATTTTATTTCGTAAAGAAAAAAATTTTTTCTTCCACTTACTTTTGTAGAATTATTTAATAGATAAATTGCTATAGAGTGCTTTAGTAAAATCGATGTTGGTATTGATGATGTTATTACTTCTGTTGGTTTTGTTGTTATTGTTGATAATGATGATGTTATTGTAGTTGTTGTTGAGGATGATGATGATGTCTGAAATAAAAAATAAAAAATAACCTAATTTGTAAAATACAATATCTATCATACGACGAGAAATTCGATTTTATAGCGCATTCGATTTCGTTACGAAAAAATGAATTTGGCAAAAAAAATACATTTTTAAAAGTTGAGGAGACGACAGAGAGAGGGAAGGGGAGGTTGTGTGAAACGATTATGTACTTTTCTTACATATATGTATGCATGTATGGTAATCGGTGATTGCTTTCATCTTACAAATACATTGATTAACACGTTTTTACACTAATTGCTATATAATCATATAATAATTTCTATGATCTTTACAATATATTGAATGCAGATATACACTTGATTCAACCTTTTTTTTAAGAATTCGATTTGAAATTTTAAAATATCACAGCTCAATACAAACTAAATAAAAATATCTTATTTCAATAATTAGGTGTAATCACTATAAAGAAAAAACTTTTCATCTTGCTCCTAATTCTATAGACATTTATACAAATTCTAGAACAGATACTTCAGTGGATGACTCTTTTAAGAAATATTTTTGTTTTCGTTTCTTGTCGATTTAGTATTTAGATATGCATATGCTAGATAGGTTTTCAACTTTAACATTGTTCATTAATCTGAAGCCGAGCAGATAACTAATGTCATTTGATAATAATGGTTTTCACATATTCTGTACTGTAACAATGAAAGTCAATGTAAAAAACATAGTAGGCCTTGGACATAGTTATTATCAATGTGATGAATAGAAGTTTCGTACCTGAAAAAAAATCTGAACGTTTCTTTATTTTTATGTTAAAATCGAAGATCCGCTTTTAAGTGAACACTGAATGACTTAGAACTAAGTTTCTTACCAATTTACTTTAATATAGACTAAGCAAGAGTGCATATCTTTGATATCTAATTTGTTGATTTACTGATAACAAACCATTTTCTCTCTTGAAAAAAACTTAAATTAATATTTTAGTTGGTTTCGCCATACGTTTCATGCTTAACAATCTGAATAAGACGATATTTAAACCTTGATAAACGGCCATTACTGTACTATAACATTTACAATTTGTATTCGAACGAATCATCAGCCAGAATGTGAAGAAGAATACTTGCTTTCGTCAGCACTAGATGCAACAAACTTAATGAAGAAGATATTTAGACCTGATGAGTACCGATGATACTTTAAAATATTTCTCTTATAATTATTACACATTTCAGATATTAAAAATGGTAAAAGATTCTTTTTCTCTTATTAGTATGCTGTAAACGTTTGTGAAACAGTATTGTCGGATGAGATCACGAAAAAAAGTAGAATTTCGTTCATTTCTCATTTTTAACAGAAATATGAATATCTGTGAGTCACACAGCTTGCTCACTATTCTACTAGTGACATTCAGTTCAAGTTGAACGAAAATGGAAAAGGAGAAAAAAGGTATAACATGGAATATAATCTGATTGGTTAAAGAACAGAAGGATAAGTTACATTCATTATTGTATGTAGCGTGTATATGTAGCTTATCTTAACCGTTCATTCAAATATGATAATATATAAATTTTAACCAATCAATGATATAGACGATAGGTGTTTAAATAAAGAAAAAATGAACGAGACACATACCGTGTTGTCAAAGTAACAACGTCAAGAATGGTTTCTATTTATAAATAGATGTGCATATATGATTAATAAATACGATCAATATTGAAAAAATAAATAAAAGCAATGGTTTTAGATTCCATATCAATGACAACAGCTAAAAATATTTTAGAAAAAGTCTCTGATGATGAATTACGTGGTTTAATGAGATCATTTTTAAAATCACTTGATCCTGTTTTATTAAAAGCTGCACGACGTGGATCAACAAATATAACATTTACTGATGAACAACTTATTCATTCATTATCATCAACAGCTAATGATATTGCTCATAAGTTAGTTTAACATATTCATTTATTTATTTGTTTTTTGTTTATTAAATATATTTTTAGTTCAGATTTATTACGTCGTCTACATTATATTGTTGATGATGCATTTGGTGATATGATTGATAAAGAAATCGAACGTTCAATGTCATCAAATAAATTAATAAAAAAACAAAAACAAAAACAACAATTAAATAAAAGTAAATTAGAACATGAAGGTGCATCAGCTATAAGTCAAACAATAACTGAAACACGTGAATTTTCATCATTTCGTACGGATGTATTACGACGTTTACATACAACACTTAGTGACTTAGTTGAAAATTTTAATGAAGAATTTCCATTAAGTTTATCATCATCAACAGCACTTGGTATTGCATCTGATACATTAATATCTGATAATAGAACAATAATTGGAACATCAATTGAATTAAGTGATATTCATGAAAATCGTCATTCAGCTACTGGTGGTGGTGGTTCATCATCATATAATATTAGTTATGGAAGTGATTCAGAAACATCATACACAAATGGATCTAGTGGACGTCACGTATGTTTGAGAAAGAAAGATATTTTTAAAAGAAATTTTTCTTTTTATTATTTAGAAAAGTTTTATGTTTTTTGATGATAATCATTTACGTACAGTTGCAGATAATTTATCGGCAGCAAAACCGGAAAAAGTAATTTATAGAAAAGAAAAAATCGATCGTATTTATGTGAAGAGTTTTTTTTTTAAAGGTTCGTCTTCGTGCATTAAATGATCTATTAAATTATGCTCCGAATGAAGTGATTTCAATTGGTAGTTGGAAAATACTTTGTCCAAATTTAATTGTTGCATTAGGTGATACTAATCTTGAAATAGCTGTAAGATTTCTAATAGAATTCGTAGTTTTTTTTTTTTTTTTTTTTTTTTGGAAAATTTATTTGAATATTATTTTAAGATGGCTTGTCTTACATTACATTCACGTTTATTAGCAGCAGCAGCAAATATGAGTGTTCTTTGTGAAACGCTTACTAATCTCGGTAAATAAATAATGTTTTATTTTATTTTTATTTTTTGGAAATTTTCTTTTCTTTTTGGTTTTTAGTTGATCATTTAGTACAATGGTTTTCATCATCGAATGTTACTGAATTACAACCAACAGCTATTTCAATTGATATTCAAAATTCAATCATTGAAATGAAATTTAAACAAGTAAATTCAGAAGAAAATTAATGTTTTTTTTTCTAAGGCTTTTCTTTTGGTATAATTAGATTCGTCTTATACTTGAATTTCTTCAAGAAACAACGAAATATTGGATGAGATATTCAGACAGGTTTTTTTCTTATGTTATTAAATAGTTTATTTTTTAAAATTATATGTAATCTTTTAGTCATGTTGAACATATTATTAATGAGACTATACGACTTTTTTCTTTTGGCTCAATACCATCGGAACCAAATGGTGCTCGAATACTTCCACTTCATTTTGTAGCATTACTTGATCCAGAAGCTAATTGGTTTCGTACATGGATGGTTTGTAATTTATTTTTATGTCGTCATAATTTTCGATGAAAATAAGCTGTTCATCCTTTTATATCTACCAAAAGAAAGAGATTTTTTTTTCTGATTTCTGGACGTATACTTCATCAGATATGTAGGTCAATAGCACCATCCAGATTTCATTTATAAGTTTCGTAACTTAAAGAGACTGTCTCATAAAGTTTGATTTGTTTCTTATCAAATACATCATCAATTTTGAATATTTTTATATGAAAATTAAGTCCAATTTATGGTGGTTTTTTATTGAAAAAATAAATTGATTTGTTCGAATATTGTTGTCTCTGAGTCCTCGATAGTAGCGAGCTGCTCATCCATATTTGATATTCTTTTAGTATAACGTCTGATTCTGAAACTTGCAAAAAATAAAGAAAACTTCTCCTAAAATTTTCATATCAATTTCTTGAACTATCACTCAGTTATCCGTCTTGAAAGGACAATAGATGTTTTCCTTTTTGGATATGTGTGTATAGGCGTAGTTCCTTTACCCATACCCGAATAGACTTAAATGATCCAAATATTTTTACAGCCTTAAAAGGTGTGTAAACATGAAAGTACAACGAGATAAATTTGATTTTTTCGTGAACTTTTGGATAATTACAGTAAAATGATTACAATTCTTGAAGAGTTTGACGAACTTCTATGACAGACAGTTAACATCTAGCACTATATAATGATAGATCTTTCGATCCACATTGTTCTTCTTACTCCATAATTATAAAGTTCACATTCATGGTGAAGTATGAATATACAAATATTTATATATCTATCGAGGGATGAAAGCTTTCTTCAAAGCTGTACTGCATAATGATTAGGTATTTAATGTTATTTTTTTCTTTAATTAGCATGCGACTTATAGCCGAGCGTATGTATTACATTCAATAACAAATAAGAAAACTTTAGTAAGTCAAATTAAACCTTTTTTTGCAAAAAAAATTCTAATTTACAAAAAACTATTTTTGTTTTCAAAATCTAGTTAATAAATGCATATCAATCAATTGTTAATTATGCTCATGCACATTCTCAACAAATGCATATGGGAAATGATGGCAATGATAATTCATTATATCCATCGGGCATTCGAAAAAGGCCTATTGGTAGAATTTGATCTGTCTTTTTTTTTGTCAAAACAAAAAATATATATATTATTTTAGGTACGGCTTCATCTGATGGTAGTATTCGATCAATGATAACAACAACAAGTGGACCACCATTAGCACCATCTTTTCTTTCAAATTTTGTACCACCACCTATATCTCTTGCACCACCGATTCCTCCACCACCAGCTGTACCGGCAAGTTCATCACATTATACACGTCTTGAGCTTGCTAATGTACATTTTGTTCATTCACTTTCATTATTTGAACATGTTGTTTGTTCAAAACAAGCACGTCAAATACTTTTTCCAATCGTGATTAATAATGATAAACAAAGTAAATTTTATATTAAAGAAATTAATTAAATCTTTTATTTATTTATTTATTTTTTTTTGATTAGTTAATGTTAAAGATATACTTCGAGTATTTATTCAAATAATGTTTGTTTCAAATAGTGGAAGTATGAAAAAGAAAAAAGAAGAAACATATTTTTTAATATTAAAATCATTGATTTGACTTTCTTGTGTTCTATTTTATTTTTTTGTTGTTCATATAGAAGCAGCATCATCTTTATGTTGTCAATTATTTAAAAGACTTTGTTTTGAATCAGATACATGTGGTCCATTAATGTGTAGTGATGATTTATTTGATATATTAGTTAAACCAATAAAACAATATCTTGGAACAAAAAAAAATTTTAATGATTATTTAAGATCAAATAATAATATTGTTCATGAATGTGGTCTTATTGGTCTTGCTGATTTACTTGCTGTTATGGCATCAAATGATATTGGATATCAATATCTTATACGAGCTTCAACAACATCAAATATGTAATAAATTACAAGTTTTTCTTTTTCATGAATTATTGAAGTAATATTCAATTATTTCAGAGGATCACCAGCATTATTAATTGTTAATTATGTTAAACGTATATTACATCCATATATAAATAATCGATTAAGTTTAATAACACCTGACTTATCATTAACAACATCATATTCATTTATGCCAACAGTATTATTATCTGAATTTATTTATGTATGTCGATTAATTTATTCTCGTACATCGGGTTTACTTGCTATCAAACGAGGACAATTACATAAAATACTTGCTGAAGCATTTAAAATTGAGGTTAAATAACAAAAACAAAAAAAGAAAGCATAAGAAAGAATTAATTTTTATATTGTTTTGTGTTTATCATTGACTATAGATGGAAAAAAATAGTTCACCATCATTAAATCGAAGTCCATCAGCTGAATCCGAAGATCAAATGAGTCGTAATATTATGCCATGGAAAGAAACATTACTTGATAATTTACTATTGTTTGGTGCAACACCAAAAGGTAAATAATTTTATATAAAAATTTCGTTTTTAAAATGAGATATTAATTTGATATCCATGATGATAAATAATCGAAAACCTTTTAGTTGACTTTTATTCTTGACAAAGATTTTTTTTCTGAATAAATTTTTTTTACCACAGAGATATGTAAAAATGTTAGCTAACTATTAATTAAAATGTAACTAGCAAATATCTCTCTAATCATATGAGAAGAAAACTTTAGAATAGACTCTACGACACGAACTGTATCTATGGTAAAATTTTTAGCAAGACCAAATTCTAAAGAAGAATTTGTGCCATTTGCAATTATTTTTGAAATTTTCATTCAGTCGTAAGAGCATTTTTTAGTCTCAGAAGTTGTTGACAGAATGTAATATTTAGTTTTCAAAAATACTGCCTCGATTCAGAGTATTTCTTAAAACTAAAATGCATGAAGTGAAAGCCAATGTTCTTTTTAACGTTCATTTTTTTTTACTGATAACTCTTCTGCACAAAGGTTTCTAGCATTGATTTTTTCAGGGTATCTAAACTAACTTAACACGCATCTAACAGAAAGTCTACATAGATCTTAAAGTTTTAGCTAATCTTCTATAATCAAAAGATTTTCCAATTGAAAGATTAATTTTCTAATTGTTTTAATTTACAGAAAGAAATTTAGCTCTTTCCCTGACGCATATAATATTAATCTTACAGATGATTCTTCGAACATGTTTAGTTCTTAATAGATACAAGAACTTAACTCTAATCTGAATAGTATTAAAAACAATTAACATTGTTAAAGTGTGGTTTAGAGAATAAAAACTTTTCGAACTAATTACTTTTTATAAGAGCATCATATAAATATTAGAAGATTTCTACAAATTATGCATTCATGAATTTTTCATACTACAAAAAAAAACGAATTTAATTTGAATATTCTAATGCAAAGACTTATTTTAATTTTCTTTTGAATAGGAATGTATCTTTTAACACAAACTGGTTTTTTACCAGAATGTGTTATTTATATTGATGAACGCTGGCGATTAAAAGTTCAAGTAGGTAAATTAGAACAATATGGTTATGGATATTTACTATCACAAATGGCTAATACACCAGCTGTTGTTGCACGTCTTGATCATTCAGGTATGTGTGTCCTATATATATATATTTTTTTTTTTCATTCTTATTTTATTTTATAAATAAAGGTTTTCTTGAATATTTAATTGAACTACTATGGACGGAATTAGAAAATGTACCTGATGATTTAACAAGTGTATTTCCTCGACGTTTTCCATCGGATGCAATTAGTCGATATGCTTTAAAAGTAAAATCGAAAAAGAAAACAATATAATTTTAAATGAATTGTTTCTTTTTTTAGCCTTTATTAAGTCTTCTTTCACTTGTTTCATCATTTTCTGCTGCTTATGAATTATTATCAACAGATAATAATGAATCATTAACACCAAATAATGTCGATAAAAATCCTAAACCATGCACACTTCTCGTATGATATTTATATTTGTATTGTTTTTCTTTCTGATAAGAAAAAAAAAATATTTTGTTTTGTTTATATTATTTTCTAGACTTTACTTGAACGAATTTGTTTTGTTAGTGATGATACTGGTATTCGAAGTCTTCTTTGTTATGAACATACACATGCTGCTGGATTAAGGTATAGATTTTTTTGAAAACAAAAAAATAAAATAGAATAATAATTTGTTTTAGATTATTATCAATCATGCAATCAGATTTAGATGTTCAATTACTGCTTGAAACAAAATATAATTATATTGAAAAATTAAGACAAGCACAAGCCGAAATGGAATCCGGTGGAAATATTATTTTAGATCAATTAAGTTTAGCACGTAATCATGTTCTTGTTAATGGAGAATTATTAGGTGGATCTCAAGAGAAAAATATGCCACCATGGACATTAAATGAAAATGATTTAACATTATTAACATCAATACCATTATTTGCTGGTTCTATGCCATTACCTGATTTTTATACAATTAAAGCAACTTATGGAGGATTAAATAATACGAAAATCGGTAAATACTTATTAAGAAGAATATTATTAAACTGTAGAAAAAAAAAAGTATATAGACATTATTATCTGTAGGCGGAATAATTCATTTTAAGAAATCATGCAAAGAGATCTCTAAAAAGCTTTGATAAGATGAAGCTGATGTTATTTTCTTCATTGATTTATAAATTGTTTCCCTAGACAATGATTTTTTTATTCACTTCAATCAACTTAATCACATAATGATAACCATTCAGCATTAGATGATTATCAAACAGAAAAGTCCGTTACGGTTGAAAATCTGCCGCACTACGATAATGTTCAAAAAAAAATTTTTTTTTCAAATTTCACTATTGTGAAAGTATTGAACTACAAACGTTTTTTTACTAATCCTTTGAATTCATCAAATCTGAGATTATAGCGTTTATGGGAACTGAAATTCTGTGCTAATTTATGTAGTTTTGCAATGTTTTTAAATCAAAATAATATTGTCTAAATAAAAAAAAGAATTTTGAAATATTCTAGAAGAAACTGAATTACATCGTCTTGTAAGAAGTTCTCGACCAGATCGACTTGATGATCGTTGGTTAAATAAATGTCGTCATTTATTTATGGCTACACTTCGTCAATCAACTCAAGAATCTCTACCACTTTCTCGTATGCTTTAAAAGATGAACAAATGAATCAATTTTATTATGAATTATTCAATAATTTTCTTATTTTTAGTTATGGCTGATTTACTTGATGCTGTTGTTGATATTCATGATAAACTTCATATTGATGTTATTTTTAATTCATCTCGAGATTCATCATCATCTTCAGTTACTGTACAAAGTAAGTTGAAAACATAAAAATTATTATTTGCATGATCATATTCTCGTACTGATATATAAAAAAAAACAACCAAATTGCATGCTTCCTAAATATTTAATTTATACAATATTCTTTTCCATATTGATCACTTGTGAAAGAAAAAAAAATCAATTTTTTATCCTTATGTCTTATCAGATATGCGTCGTCATCTCGGTAAATCCATTTCTTTTTGCAATACTATGCACTATTTTATTTTTATTTTCTCCCTATATCCTCACTAAAACACCTGTTTTCTTTTCAATTCACCTGATTGATGTGATTAGAAATATTAAATTCATTTGATATCAAATAAAAATTTGTTCTGTTTTTCTTTTATTCTTAAATGTAGAAGCTGATCTAGTTAAATTATCATCTGCAAGTACATTAACTCCAATACAAGAACTTGGTATTAATAAAGCATTAAAGTTTGTTGTTTAAATCAAATTTGTTTTTGATTTTTATTGAAATTCGTTTTTTTTTTCTTAGTTATGGTGTTCGTATTGGACTTGTACAAGATCAATCTGTCAGCCAACAAAATCTTATTCGATTACTAAAAGCACTGAAAACACATTTAAAACAAAAAACAGCAATATCATCTACATCATCATCATCATCATCATCATCATCATCAAATACAACTAATAAAACAATTGCATCAACATCAACAAATTCTACATTAGCTAACTTAATAGCTGCAGCTGCATCGGATAATAGTGGAAATAAATTAAGTATGTTTAGAAATATTAAAAGAAAAAAATTAGAATAACATCATGTGACTTGAATATCATAGTCGAAATCAAATAATCAATGGATTTCGTAGATAGAAAGACGGCTATAAGGTTTTAACTACACAGCGAAATATATGTAGGCTTATAGAGAAAGACTTGCGCTAGTGGTGCTATCTATCGATTTATCAACGATATGCAGTAGAACCAGAACTCTCAATAGGTTTAGAAGTGGTAAGGTCAAAGAAATTGGTAGACAGTTGGAGGCAGTCCATTTGATAGAAAATTACCGAAAAAAAAACTTCCATTTCATATTTCACAGAAAAATTTTCGACAACAACTCATTATTTTTGCAGACACCATGTAAAAAGTGGGGATAAAGGCAATCCCACTCCAGCCTCTTTCACATCGAGACTTATTAGTAGAAATTAATGATGCATATAATATTAGACAGAGAAAGCCTTAATGTAGTCCAAAAGCATCGAAATACTTATAGTCATCTTTCATGTATGTGTTTCGAACAGATTTAGATCATATAAACTATGTATGAAGTAAAACTAATCATGAAGTTTGTTGAAAGAATTTTTCTGTATTATATTTTATGATTTTATAGTGACTCATTATAGAAGAATGAGTAGACTTACTTGAGGAATAAAATTTTATTTCTATTATTTCATATAATTGAATTAGACAAAGGAAAAAAGTGACCGAAAAAGTTTGAAATCAATTATCGAGAAAGTACCTATCGAATGGGTCATAAATAACAAGTCTCTCATTATTTTAACTAGAGCTTTTTTCTTTCAATTTTCTGGCTGAATAGATTTTGTGGAAGATGTACCGTCAAAATTGGTATAACAATATAAAAACATTAGAATATATTTTAAACAGATCGAAATGGTAACGAAACAAAAGTAAAAATGTTTTCGAGTACTTCGAAGTACGCTCTTTCTCATCATCGAGTTCAAAATTTGTTGAGAACAAAGAGAACATTGAAAAGGTGAATATTCTACAAAATTCCTTTGAAAATGGCCAATATCTTCTGTTAGCCACTTAAATTTAAGCAGAAACCTATGAGATAAATTCTCATCGATGAATTCAATGTAAGCGTCATTGCTCACTAATATAAAACAAACTCGAGTTCAAGAGAGTCTATTTTTAACTTCATTATCCGACATTTTTCAAGAGCGTAGATTGAAACAGCTCAAGTCTTCAGAATATTACAAAACGAGGAATATATCAATGCAAGTTTCTAATGCTAACATCATATCTATTAACTTAACACCCAACGTTCTTTTCATTTATCTTCTTATTTTTCTATAGAAATAGGTCAAGTCAAGGTTTTTTTGTACAGACTTTAACCGCCTCTTCTAGGAAAAAAACAAGCAGTTCTTAAAATTGAAAACAATGAAAAGTTCATTATTTATGAACGACTCGATGAATTGAATAATAAAGCATTAATAGTTCGAATATTGATATTTCTTTAAATATATATTTATATATAGATTATACATCATCAACAGATGCTTATCCCGGTTTTGATTGGTTTTCGACAAGTATTTTTCTTTTAATGGGCTGTGATGATGTACGTTCATGGCGATGGTTACGTACATTTTCATTACTTTTACCAGCTGGTTTTCTTTGGCATGCACGTCTTTTTAATACAGTATTTATTTATTTCTTATTCTTTAATTTAGAAAAGTATTTATATTTGATTTTTTTAAATTTCTTAGCAATTTGTAAGTAATGAAATGAGTATAAATGGTTTACATCCTGTTTATGTTGGTTCTGGTCATTGTGTTGAATTAATAGTTGAACAAGAAATGGCACCAGTTTTTGCTGCTTTTCGTATGTCAGGTTTCGCTATTTCTCATGTAAGTTAATTTATTTATTATTCGAAAAACAAAATATTAATAGATTTTTTTTCTTTAAAGATGGTTGTACATTGGACAAAACAATGTTTTTGGTCTGTATTAGATTGGCCAGAAATTATAACATATTTATGTGTGTGTATACTTTATGGTATTGATTATCAAGTTTATTTTTGTGTTGCACTTCTTCGTCATTTACAACAAGATATTATATATCAACATTCATCTCGAAATTTATTACCATTTCTTAAAGTTTGTTAATTTAAAAAAAAAAAAATAATCAATATACATTGAATTGTGTTTTGTTTTTTTTTTTTAAATTAGTGTCATCAAATTCGAGGATTTTCAATGCGTAATGCAATTGAATATATGGTAACATTAGAAAAAAAATATCGATCAATAGTTATGCCTGAACTTAAAGAACTTCTTTGTCTTAATGCTAATGTATCAAATACAACTAATAAACAAACGAATGTTTAATTGTACATTTTTTGCTTTCTTTTTTTTTTTTTTTATTAAATAATTTTAATAAATTGAATATTAAATAGATAATCAATTATGCTTTAGAGATGAATAAATATACGTGTATATTTCTATTGTTGAAATAAAAAAATTATATCCAACGTTTAATTTTATACCATATAATCATACCAATAAGAATCGAACCTAAAATAGAAAGTATTATATAATAACCATATTGATATTTAAGTGGTGGTTGTGTTTGAAAATTTGTTGAATTGATACCAGCTAATAAAGTACATGGCATAAATACAACAGTTATAAGCATAAGAACTTTAAGTATTTGTTGTATTTCATTACTAGTTAATGTTATCCAAAATGAAATAAGCATTGAAACACTTTCACGTTGAATTTCTAATGAATCAATTAATTCATTAACATGATTATTTAAATTATTTAAATAAACATATATATATTCATTTAGATAGATTGATTTTAATTTTGTTCTTTCTTCAGTATTGGTTGTTATTTGATGAGTTGCTTTTGCTTTTCGTCGAACTATGTGATGCTTCATATCAAGTCGTAATGATGGATCTGTACGAGGAAATGATAAATAGTCATCATCAGATGTTGTTCGTCCTAAACGATTTATTATTTCTTTTAATGGATTTAATAAAATACGTAAATGAAGTAAATCATGCTTAAGATGATAGATTGAATGAAGCATAGTTAATGTTCTTGATTGTGTATCTGTCATAAGAATTGTATCATATTGACTAATACTATTAGCTATTTCTTCCATTACCAACGCATATCTAAATGTCATAGAAATAGGAATAAATTTTTGATTTTAATAACTAAACAGTGTCAAATCAGAATCAATACATTGTCTGAAAGTGATAAATACAATAGAAAATGAACTATTCATCAACTTGATGGGTTTTTAAAGTACATGAATATGTTTTCATTATCGAAACGTTGATCATTCTCTTTGAAGAGATCAATAAATTTTCTTTTTTAAAATCATTCTCGTTGAAATCATTTATTCGTAACTTTTACTTTTTCCTTGATCACTCTTTGATCAGGAACATGTTATTTCATAGAATAAGAAAAAGAGCTCTATAATAGTTATCAACAAAACTCAAACAATGAAAATACATTTAGAAGATGTATAACTACGTTCGATGCCACTTCGATGGCTCTTTTCTTCTATTTACCTATAGTTGTTAAACGTTTTGCTAAACAAAAATAGGCAAAATGTTTTCTGTTGTATATAAATGGTAAGGATGGAAGATTATGCTCTTATGCTCGGATGAAAATATTTAAGTATTTTTCATTGTAAAATTTTCCTCTTTTTTTTCTAAATATACATTTGACTTTCATAAGAAGTTTAGACATAGACAAAAACATTATTCTTTATACTTGTTAGGCACAACGAACATACAAGTGCATGTGAATGTTTGAAAAAGAAGCTTATCGATATTGAAAAAATAAGACCATTGAAGTGTTCATAAGCATCATCAAAGGATATTACAAGTAAGTCTTTAAGAATGTCAATGATTATCAAAACATTTTAAGCCCCCCCCTATCCGAAAAACCATCTGTTTTTTGAAAAATCAAAAAATGTTTTCCGTTTTTTTCTCAGTTTCCA